TATGAGAATCAGGGTTTATTTTGTAGCAGATCCGAGGTAGTGCAGAGACAAGGAAGTTACTGGTTAAAATGAAAGCCTGGTATGGCGAATGAGCCAAAATAAAAATGTCTGTAAAATCCAAATCTAAACAAGAATAAAAATATGGTTTTAGTCTCAGCCAGTATCTATTCTCACCTTCTAAAATCTCGCCTTTGACGAATGTCTACTATAATCTAATGATTAAAACGATCTAACTCTACACTGAAATTGATAACATCAAGACAAAATCACAACAACAACAACCACAAAAAACAAAACAAAATACAGAAAAGGGAAGAGAAATAAAAGGTAACTAGAAAATATACAACTAACTTAAGTCTGTTCATAGGTTCAACAGGTTAATTGAGAGGATAAACCCAGAAGTTTTAGAAAGTCTTGGGGTTAATTTAAAGCTTGCTTTCATCACTAAGCTGGCCTTTCTGTCTTCTTGTTCATGCATTCATTCATTGTTCTTTCATTAACTGGCTCCTACAGAATCCTTGTATATGACACTTAAAATAGATTTGCTCTCTCTGTCCTGATTGCAGTCTTAAATCTGAACGGGATCCAGAGAGAAAAACTCTTAATGCAATTTTTGCAATTTATGTTCCCAGACTTTGGAAAATCCTAGCAGGTGGCTGGACTTGACTGCAGCCATTATTAAAACAAAATATTGATTTTTGTGCTGCATTTTTTTTTTTAAACTATCCTCGTTTTTGCCTTTCAGCGCATCCCTTTCACTCATATTTAAATATGCTCCTTATGTATTTCTTTAGTCATTACTAATTTTGTTTACTAGTTGTTTACTATATTGGCCAGAATAATTATAATGAGCATTAGTGCAATAATGCACAGCAACAACTTCAGGGCTTTTTTGTTTTGCTCTTTACACAGAACAAGGAGTTTGTTGGTTTAATTTTTGATTAAACGGTGTGAAAATTGTGAAAATTCATATTTGTTATTATTATTATTATTATTATTATTATTATTATTGTTATTTAATTATAAGTGGTTTGAAATCGGAAATTTTTGGAATTTGAGATTCCAACTAACCACAGCATTTTTTCAAGGCTTGTGACTCACTGACACGGAGCAATAACACCTCCTCAGGCTGGTTGTCGTCACCATTTCAACACATTGGCAAAGACTAAATCTGAAGACTTTCACCTCACCTCATCTGGGAAACTTTGTCCTACACTTGAGTAAACCAGAACGTTCACAGTAGAATCAGAACTACTGCATGAAGCTTCTTTCACAAAGGGTTGTTGATAAATCTGCATATTGGATTTGGCAGATTTTAACCTGATCCTGACAGTTTTTCCAGGGAAATTAATTATAAACTATATTATATATATTAGAGTTTTTCCCCCATACAGAAAATATTGGCACTGACCAAACAGGTTTTGGCTTTCCATCAATGGAAAATTGCAAATCTGCCCCAACTACCACCCAAAAAAGGTGGAAATAATGGTGTGGATATTGGAGAATTAAACTGAATGCACATGGGGGGGTAAAATGGGGGGCTCTACTTTGACTGTAAAATCAGTAGCAGCCACAGTCCTTCAATCTGTATTCAGGGAATAACATAAAAAGGACCTTTAACTAGGCAGGCCACATCCCACAGAGCTGTAGCTCACCTGAAATGCTTCACATTTAATTAAACAGCACACAGTTTACACGCCCACATCTTGAGTGACGAGTTTCCATGCGTGTTCCCCACATTGAACAGGTTTTCACGCCCTGCCTGTTCTTACCTTCAGGTCCCGTCACTTTGAGCACAAAGAGACAAATGGGTCACTGCAACACCAAACCTGTGGCATTCCAGTTCAAACTGAACCAGTTCCCTTAGAAAACTGTGATATTATTACAAAAATGCATTATTAAATCTCTTTGCAACCGCACAAAAAGTCCAGATTAAAATTTTCTGGATGTGTAGCTTGAGGACAATCGTTGTGCCTGATGGTGGGAATGATTATCGGGTCACACTGTAAACTGATTTCAGGGAATAGGCGGATGGTGCCACACAAGCTTAACTAATGATCTGCTCTGCTTCAGAGCAGAGCTGTAGCTAAACCTAAAAAATCTTTTAAGACTGGTGAAAGTGTCAGATGAGGTCGTGTAGGCAAACCCCATCTAAAGCCAAAATCTTGGTTCTGTAACCAGCTTTGAGCATCAGTATTATGGGATATATCATAGTTTCAACTGCAAACCTGCAATATTTCAATATTTCAATGGAGACCAACAGAATCCACAGAAGAGAACTGCAAAAAGTACTTGAAAAAATTTCCTTGAGCACAAAATATAAAAGTTATTTCTTATCTAAAATTTCCAGAGTGATGTAGCTCATGCGATGGGCGTGTGCCACCGCGTCCATGTGTTGAACCGGGTGGTGTCCTGGGTGGAGGTGATCGAGGCTCGCTCCAGCCCCGCCGTGAACGTCACGGACTCCGCGCTGGGAGGCGTGCCCACCCGGGTGTTTCATCCCATCGGAGGGGAGAAGCTGAAAAGAGGAGTTATTTATTTCCACGGTGGCGGCTGGGCCCTCTGCAGCGGACGTGAGTGCGGTGCATAAGAAGCTTTAGACAACCGTAAAGCTGCTGACGGTTAAACAAATCCAATCAACTTAAGTCTATTTTTCTGCTGGTTTCATGTTTAAATCTCACTGTGACAACATGAGCTTGTTAAACACAGTCTTATATGAAGGGTGAACTTTTTTCTCACATTAGGAGCAAACACTTCTTTTCTTTTTGGGCTAAAGTTCATTTTTGTATGAAGATGCTGTCATCTTCATACCCGTGTCATCATCACTGAGCCTCATTTATTCGGCGTGTGGTGCTTTCATTGCCTAAAGACTTGCTGTATTGAGTTTCTGAGCATATTGTAGCTTCTACCTCCAGTATTTTACAGAAATAACTTACGTTTTTATTCGTTATGAGTCAAAACAAACGACTGAATCCATAAAGTCATAAAGTCACAGGTCAAATGATCTGAAAGTCATATTCCTAAAGACTTTACTACCACAGGAAGTTATACGAGCAGCCGTATGAGTCATCCTCTGCTGCCCAGGAATGCTGAGACTTCTAAATCTCTTGGTATCGAGTATAATGTAATACCAACTAAGCCTAAAATGAATTTGCAATATATTACTGTAGCCTTACTGTAACTTGAGCATCGGTCACTGTTTATGTGCTTCACAGGAATGCGCTCCTATGACCATCTTTGCCGGAAGATGGCGGAGGACCTGGATGCTGTCATTATGTCAGTTGAGTAAGTTTGGGGCGTCGATCACGTGAATCTAGAAGGAACAAACGTCACATTGAAGCTGCAGGTGGTGGATTTTTATGTAAAAGGTTTGAAGACAACAAGTTATGCTTTTCTCTTGTTTTTTAGCCAATCGTAGCAAAGACAGCTGATTGTTTCATTTTGATCTGAAAGTCAGTTATTGATGTTTTCAGACAGCATGTTTCAAACTCTTCCCAAAGGAGGAAAACTGGGTGAAAGTTTTCAAGAGTTTTGTTTTTTTTTCATGTTTAGCATCACGGTCCGTTTGTGAAGCAGTCTGCAGCAGTCTGCCGCACAGACTCGGATCTGTTCATTTATCATGGACGTGGTTTAGCTGAAGGCCATGTGATGAGGCTGAATGTGCTCAAAACATCAGTGAAACTTGTGATGAGATTATGGTCAGAGATGTACCAATTGTGCCATTCTAGGCTGATGTCAGTATTTGAAGGACCCATTTACTCACAGATATTTTTGTGTGTGTGTGTGTAAATTTACTTTTCTGTTATTTTAGTTTACCCTTTTGGTAAAAATCCCCCTGAAATTTCTGTCCTGTCTTGACATGAGAAAGATTACTCTTTCAATCAGTTTGCCCCCGCTGCTGACTCTCTCCTCTTAATGGAGAGTTTCTGGACTTGGATTCTTCCTTTTGTTTTTCTTCTTTATCCAAATCCATCTTCATATGCTCTCCTCTTCAGCACTGCCAGAAGGCTGCTTACTGCAGAGCCCCTGGCCTAGTCCAGCTCTGCCTTTAAACCCGTCTACATCCCTGCCACAGCCTTTAACCAGGCCCAGCTCAGCCTGTTTGACTCTGCAGTAAGCACCTACTGAAATCACTGTTCACCCCAGCTGCTAGCTCAGGAGTATCGTCACAGATGAAGGATTTAAAACTTTCATATTCTGTGAAATAATTCAATTCAATTCAATTTTATTTATATAGCGCCAAATCACAACAAAAGTCGCCTCAAGGCGCTTCATAGATACAGAGAAAAACCCAACAATCA